GCCAGTTACGATCAGGGTCGGCAAGCATATCGGCTGCAGAGATCTCCTGGCGACCATCCTTTTCGCCAATCGCATGCTTGAAAACGAAGGCCTCGCCGCCGATGTTGTTACCAGAGCCGGGCAGAACCAGCGAGGTGGTGACACCGCCGGACTTGATGACCTGCCACTGCGGATCGAGCGGATTGAGGCCGTCGATAGAACGGACGTAGGGGGTGATGTCCGAGGAGAGCTCGTTCGTGTCCTCGGTACCGGCTAGGTCGGGCAGCGAGCTGACGCCAACGTGCGAGTGCATATCAATGATGCCGGCCGTCAGCTGGCGACCCTTGGCATCGTAGATCTGGGTGTCGCCAGGGAGAGACTCGAGGCTGATGTGAGCGTCGACTTTTTGGATCAGTCCGAACTGCACAAACACATCGCCACTGGTCCACGAATAGCCTTTGCCCGCGCGGGCATCCTCGAGCGAGGTGCCCTCCACAGGCTCACCGAGCCAGATTGTCGCATTCTGTATGAGGATGGGCCTTTGGCCGTCAACATAGCGTGCATTTTTGGTACGCCCAAGGCCAATTGGGTCCTGAGGCTTTCGTCGGAGCTTGGTGCACGTTTGAAGGTCCTCTTGAAGACGATCAGCGGCGAGACGAGACTGGCGCCAGGAAGGCAGGACTGTCAGTTGGTTCCACTGAGCGTAGACGAGGAAGACGAGACAGGCCAAGCCGGAGATGGCCAGGAGCTTCATGCCGCGACGGCGACGGATCCGGAGCTGTCGACATTGTGTTCGTCTGGCAGGCAGAGCTGCGACAGGTGGGGCCAGGGAGCTGTATTCGTATGGCGGAGGGGTCGCCTTGGTGTATGAGGAAGTCATGGCCGCTGTCTTCCAGTTTCGGTCTTGGAGAGGGAGGAAAGAAAGTATCACGAGACGGCCAGGTCTTGGGTCGTGGTGGAAATCATCGAATCGTGGGTGATGTCTGCCGTCAGAGCCGGGAGCTCGATCACGCGGGGAGCTGTTGCACTTGCGTCATGAGGATGGGTTGTTGCGATAGCCCGCTGCACGGGGCTTGCGGTACCGACGTGTTGCTTATCAGGGCGAGAACGCACTGTGCTTGGTTCCGGACTGGGGACTTTGCTGCTGATGCCTGGAAACCCACCCCCTGGGAGTCTCGGGTTCCTAGACAGCAGCAGCCAGCTACCTACATCCAAGTGAAGTCTGCCTGACGCCGGTCAACATATTGACAGGACTGAAGCAAGGGAATCAACGCACAAAAAAAAGAACTCTTCTCATACTATTACAGTCCAACAGCCTTATCCTTTCGGATGCAAAATAACAAGGAACAGCATGTCCGAAGGTCAGCTGCGAGTCAGTGTGATTGGTGTCCCTGGACGACCACCTCAGGGCTTCATGCAGCACCGGAAATGACAACAAGACACTGTCAAGACTGTGACCCCTCTTGCTGCATATGATGCACTTCCCCTTCAGGCCCTTCGCTTGACAGGCGCCCTCTAGCCAGTTGACAGCCTGTGGAGGCACACTTTCAGCAGTGGAGGCACCCACCAACAGTGGGCAGACCAACCATGGAGCTCCAGGACACACGTCTTATCCCTGTCCGGCGTCGATGCCCACTGGGCGCCCCCCCGCCCTCAGCCAGCACGGCTCCGCTGAATCAGGGGTAAGCAAGAGTCGAGACCGTCCAAAAGTCAGAGCCTCCGATCTGCCGCGTCTGCTGAGGCGGCCAGGCCTCCTGTCCGTGGGCCGCCCGGTCAATGGAGGGACAACTGAAGTCGCTCTCGCAAAGCCTCAGCCGCCCGTCCAGTGAGAGACGTCAACAGCAGCCCTGCGCCACACGTCAATCTCCTCCCCTCCTTGATCAAGAGTAGCAGCCTGGCAGCAGCGCCAGCTGTCACCGTCAATTCCAATTCAAGCAAAAACATTCAATCACATCTCCCTACGCCCCCACGACTAGTCGATAATGGAGGCAAGAGACCTCGCTGAACTCTGAACACTCCGACCAAACGTCCTAGCAAGAAACAACCGTTGCTGCCGATTCCGTACCCGACAGACCAACCATCACCATTGTCACATCACCAGACCCGCCGTCGCTTGCCTACCGCCTTGCCGCGCTCTCTCCCACCTGTCGTGTCACGATCTACCCGGCCCGCAATCTCCATCCATCT